CAAGAGTGGTGTTTTGAATTTGTATTTTGGTTATGTGTGACTGGAGGTGTCAGGGGAAAGTGAGTGTACTCTCTCTGATTTACCAAAGAAAGGCTTGCTTTCTTGAAGCTTGCACAGATGGTTAACTGATACCAAAGATGTCTGCAACACTGCCTACAAGTTGCCAGAAGTCAGTGTGAAAATATATTACAGCCCAACTCCATAGCAAAGAAGAGTTGTTGTTACCAGGATTTATTAATTCCTGTCCTCCTAACAAACAGTGCCTATCAAGGACTTCTTCTGTGGGTAGTCCACAGGAAGCAGTTCCCATTATAGCACCTTTAAAATGTTTATTAAAAGAAGCAATTTTTTAAATGTTTGAAGATTATTCATTTAAAATATTGCAAGCAGAGTGGAATATAGTGCATGAAATAGTCCATTATTGTGCCGTTTAAGTTTAGCTGGTAAGAGGAATCTAAATTGTTTAAAATGTTTATCTCCAATACATCATTGCTGCTGTACTGTGAAGAAAGCTTTAGTCATTATAAACAGTTAGGAACGATGGTCACTGAAAAATAGCTTGATTAAATAATTTTTAGAGTATGCTTTGTGGATTGAGATTTATATAGCTTTTAAAGAAGATTACCAGCCTAATAGTTGCCTCATCCTGCTAATTTGTTGCTTTCTTATATGTTTTGTAAATATCCATTCTCTCTTTATAAAGAACAGAACTTTTCATGATTTCCCTTGACTGTTAGTCTCCCCATGCTGTTCCACAGGTGTGCAGAAAGACTTTAGGTGGTGCTTTTTTTTCTGAAATAATTATGTAAGTGAAAAAAAAAATTAACCTAATGAAGTACTACTAATCATCTTCAGATTAATACTTTGGAAGACTTTTAACTAAAATAGATTTCAGATATGGTGAAAATCATATTTTAATTAACAAGATCCAATACTTAGTGCAAAATGTCCAAAATCCTTCAGATATTTCAACCTTAGTGTGTTAAATATTGTAATATTGTAGTATAACAACTAATGTTTTGGTGAAGAAGATGGTTTTGTGGATAAAGACATAAGTTCACATCACAGGTATAACTTCATTGAACTAAAAGAGAAAAATGCAAATCATAAAGGCTTGACTCTGGATATGCATTTCTGTGCTTAAAACTATGGTACTAAGAAGCACTACTGCCCTTCTACTAGTCAAATAATAAAATAAACCCTCTTTTTACTTTCTGTTGCAGCAAAACATGATATTCTCTATAGATGGAGTATTTTTATGTCAGTTTTAAAAATCTAGTGATTCTGTTTGACGAAAGAGTTTAATAATAGTGATGAAAAGTTGGAAAGACCTGTAAGGCATGTACTTGGTTCTTGATGATATAAAATGTTTTTTAGGGACTGTTTTTAGATATTTCAGGTATTTTAAAATAAGTCTAGAAGCTTATTTTATACTTCTTCGTACTTTCCTAAATCAGAGTCTCAAATGGGGAGAATTAAACTTTTTTTTTTTTAGTACAATATAATTATTCTTTTTTCATTCACGAGTAGCAGGTATTTAAAAAAATTCATTTGTCTGAGTATGTATCTCCTGGGTAATTTTCTCAAATCACAAATATATCTCACATATAGTTATGCCAATTAGTTAAAGTTGCCGAAACTTTTCTTCCAATTCATTCTGTAAAGGTTTGCAGCTACTGATAAATTTTAGTTGAGTTACTTACTGCCAAGTTGTATCTTTATGGCAGGATAAATAAGAATTATTGTAACCGTGTCATCAATGATGTTAATAGTAAGAATTTAATAGTAAGAATTGGGAAGGAGTTCTGTTCTCTTAAGTATTCTGATTGTAGAATAAGTATCAGACTAGTTCTATTGCATATAGAAACTAATTGTTTCCTGTACAAAGATTCTGTCATTTAGCTATGGCAATCAGCTGCATTTTACATGGCAGTCCAACTACTTTGATTTTGAATTTACTTTTAAAAAAAGTATTAAAAGATGTTTCCAAAATTACTGTGATTCATGGAAGTATTGCTGTGAGTATGTTAGTAGACATTGGTATGTTCACTTTGTGAAACCTGTCCCAAGAGGTTTCTTTAGCAGAATAATATTTAGTTTTGTTTTAGAAAGAATCTTTCAGTCACTTTCTTATCTCTGGAGCAGGAAACCATTTAACTGCCAGCTCCAAGCCAGTCAAATGAGAAATGAAGAAAAAACAGTAAAAACCATCATCACCACCAAAGAATAAAAGATCCTGCAGACTATTTATCAAAGCAATAGTGGTTTTTTCTGTGGTTGTTTTTTTTTTTTTTAATTGAATCATTCTGGGGAATATGAGTAGAAATTGTTTTCAGAACATATCTGCTGTTGTTGTCTGATATGATACTTCCAAGTATTTCCACCCTTTAGCACTGAGAAGCTTGTCTTTATTTTCAGGCATGCGGTGGTACTGTTGCGCATGATGTTTCTCTATTGCTTTTTATTCTGAAGTGTATGTTTTTAAAAGTTTTAAAGCTTCTAAGAAATTCTACTATATTTCTAATACCTGCCTGGGTTTTTTAAATCTTTAGCAGTAGTTATATTAAAATGTAGTGGAAACTGATCAAAGATTACTGAAAGATAGAAATTCTGTGTCTCATTTAGATATGATTTATTTTAAGTCTTTTCATATATTATTAACATTCCATCATACAATCTATTTTATTTCTTGATGTATTTTCTTCCTTAATGCTTCAATGCTGACTTAAGAATCCTTTTTCTTCCAAGGCAGTGGAAATCTTGATGTTTAACAGCAAAATTTTTGCTTTAATAATCATTTTTTATCAGACTGTAGCAGCAGGGTTTAAATGTGAAAAGATTTTGTATGTAAAAGGAAGAGAAAATCCAGTGTTCCTTGTCTTTGTGTTACAATTTCAGTTTTTAAATGTTAAAAAGATTACAGTGGACTTCTATGCACTTTTCCAATGTCTTAATTGCTTTTTTGTTACTGTTCATTGTGACTGATCAAGGACTCTCTGAAAGAGACATGCTATTTCAAATATGTTTAAGTTTTTTACAGAGAGTTTTTATAGGTATGTATATTCATGTTGTTTGAAAAGGGAAAATTCTGGTGGTATGTTGGGTAAAAACTATAATTAAAGACAGCTGCATAAAATTACAGTTTCTATGTTGATTTTTTTTTACTTCTTTCCATTCCATCTCCCATTAGATGGCAGTGTTGTGAATATGCAGCATATTGATGTTGACATATTGAAAGGAATGCAAGCATTTTTTATACATCTCAGATGCCTTTTCATTATGTATCTTATGAATTTCAAGAGGAGGAAGGGTAAGCTAGAAATGATAGATGGAAGTAGCAGATAAAGAAATTTGCATTCAGTGCACAGAAATCTAACTAGTACAAAAGTTGCATCCAGTCCTTTGTGTGTTCCAGCTTTTCTATGATTAAACACCCTCCTTGTTTAAAAAAAACCCAACAACTAGTAGTAGTAAACCATAAAGCCAGGCTGTACATTTACCAGGTTTTTCTATACGTCTCTGTTTACCTGAAAGAAAATACTGTCTCAGCTTTGCAGTGTAAGCTTTATTCAGCTATAGCAAAGTTCTTTAAAAGTTTTTCCATTTAAGACTGTATGTTTTAGCCAGTTAATTTGCTTTTAATCTGAAAAAATTGTGCTTAGGTTTATGTGGTAATGTTTTGGTAGTGTAGGGGTGCTGCAGCTGTGGCTAATAGCAGAACAGATCAGGAGCTGTCCGCAGACTGGACAAAGCCAGATCTGGCTGACTCCAGAATGAACCTGCTGCTACCCAAAGCTGAGCCTGTCAGGAACTGTGGTGGCATTCATGTGATAGCAAATTTAGAAAGAATAAAAATCACTGTGCAGCAGCTGTGAGAGAAAGGAGTGAGAAAAATGTGAAAGAAACATCCCTGCAGACACCAGAGTCAGGAGTGAAGTAAAGCCTGGGAAAGACAGGCATGAGGGAAGCTGGGTTTAGTTTTGCTCTCATTTCTCACTGTCTCTTATTAATTTACAATAAGTTAATGTAATTCCCCCGAGTCTTATTTTCTCTCTCTGTCCTGGGGGACATCTGAGGAGAAATGAGAGAGCAAGTTGATGAACACCTGGCAGTCAAACAGGGTTAATCCACTATGATAGTTTATGTGCTGTAAGCATGTCGATTTACTCAGTGCAGTCTCCTACTTTTAAGTTTTTTGAGGTACTACGTACAGTAACTTTCGTCTGAAAATTAACTCAGAATCTGCAGTATTCCAAATGAAGGCTCCTCCTTTGCATTTCATGACTATTGAGATTTTATTCAAATAGGTCAAATATATTCCACTCACCTGCATAATTTGGAAAGAAAAACAATGCAAAAATTCTTTGAGGGACCAAAGTCAGAGACTAGAGTAAAGTTGATGAAGAAAGTACTGCATGAGACTGCATTGCACAATAGATCAGATTACACAGTTATAGAACACCCTTCTAGGCCTTAGACGTAATGCTTCTCTCTCTTGCTTCTTTTTTTCTCTTTGTAAAAAAAAATGGGCAAAACTGTAACTTGATGTGGTACTTGTATGTATTTATGTTTTGAAGAGTTCCGTGCTGGAACTGTGTGTTCCTGTAAAGACCTTTGGGTCAAGTGGACACTACATGAGTTATTTTTAAAAATAGTATTGTGATGTCACTTAAGATACATGCAGTCTCGGGATTCAACATGGTAGTTTGCTTAAAACTATAAAAAACAACTAATAGAGCAGAAAGAAATGCTATAGTTTCTTTTTGGTCTTAACTGTAGGAATTAATGAAACAGTGGAATCCTAGTGTGACGCATTGTTCAGATACTGTATTCTCTTGAATAATCCTTTCCCCCTGAAAATTGAGAAGAAGAAAAAAAGGAAAATTTTGATTAAAGTAGAATTGGCTTCCACATGTGGGATTTTTATTCAGGACTTTTTAAACTACAACTGTGGCATATTCCATTACGTGTCACCTACAAATTCCTGTCTTCTCTTGCAGTGCACTTGTAGGAAAGACATGGTGTCAATATCCATGGATATCTTTGTGAGGAAGTTTCAACCAGATAGGTACCGGCTGTGGAAAAAAGGCAAGGATTTATATACCATTGATCATACGAAACCAACACCTGAATCAACACCTGAAATAAGGACCTGGCTACAGAGAAGAAAGAAAATACAGAGCTTTCCAAAGAGGTATTTGGTTTCTTTACCCTTTATTTAATCATCTTTAATATGATGCCAGTTTCTTTTTGTTTTCTTTCGGCAACTTTCTTTGATGTTGTCCTAGTTTTAGTCAGGACAGAGTAAATTTTCTTGTGGTAGCCATGAGGGAGTGGAGCCTGGATCCGTGTGGGTGTGCCTAGGTTAGTTTTCTATACCACTCATGTCACCGCTCCAGGGCAGAATTTAAGGGATTCTCACTTTGGAGAAGGAAGGGGATGTGGTGTGTGCGGAGGGCCCAGAGACCATAGTGTTCTTTGTCTCAGCTGCGTGGCACCAGGCTGTGTCGGTTGGACTCCATGAGCATTTTGCATGTAATCACCCTCTTTTATACACTTTTGTTATTAGTATTGTTGCTCTTACTGTTCATTTTCTTATTTCATTACTGTTTCCAGTAAATTGTTATCTCAACCCATAATCTCTGCCTTTTCTGTCTCTCTCTGTCACAGGAGGGAGTGAGGGGAGGGTAGTGGCTGCATGGAGTTTAACTTTCAGCTGGGCTTAAGCCACAACACATATTTTCTTTGAATTCATTTACTTTAGATGAAAATTATTTTTTCTGTTTTCTCTATTAAGATGAACTTGGGGATAAGCAAGTCTGTTTCAGAGTGACTGTGAAAAATTAATTCAACTTAAAAGTTATGTACATAGCTGAAGTTAATGATCATGGAGAGCATTAACATGAAGTGTTCCAGTGTTGCATTTAGAATATTTCTTTAATGAAGATTATTGGTGTTTTAGTAAAGATTACAAGGTGTGGATGGTTGCCATTGTTTCTAGTGACCACTGCAACCAAAAGACAAGGGAGAAGTCTGTTAAGAGCTGAGGTAAAGATTAAATGGGAAAAACTTATCATAAAGCTGTGGCAGAATCCCACCAGCTGTGTGAAGTCTCTAGTAAAAGTCTCAGCCCTCGCTGCCATCTAACTTCAAGGAAGTATGGCTGCCTATTTATCACACTCTCACAGTGCTGCAGCCAAAACCTGTCTATGTCTGCCACGAGTCAATGGCGGATCATAATCTGGCATGAGAAAGGCCTGAGTTGCTGGTCCTGACACCACTAAGAAAATTAGGAGAATAAGGTTTTTCAGCTTGTCATTGAAGCTGTAAAAGCTTTGATCTGTTAAAGCAGTTTCATAGCTATTTTCTTGATATGCAATATGGTTTTGTTTGCAATGCGCAAACATTTTTTGTACACTTGTGCTTTCCGGTCTTAAGGAACAGGATCTTTATGGATTTTCTTCTTCATTATCTAATACAGATCTACTTAATTTCTAGCCAAAGGTGGGCAGTTTTATTGGTATCTGCTTAACTGCATAGTGCAATTTTCTGGTTTGAAGGTAATACTGAATTTTTAAGACCTTTTTCCTCCTTCAGATCATTTTAGTGTGTAGTTACTTTTTAAACTTGGTCTTAAAAAACCAAATTTCCTCGTTTTCTTTGTAAGTTTTTGAGGAAAAGGATAGGAAAGTCAATCTGTAAAGAAAAGGAGCAACTCTCACTATAGTGAAACATTATAGCTGGGTAGGAGTGGTTTGTGAGGTAGAATCACTTCTTGAAGACAATTAGTGAAGCAGCTGAACAGCCAATTTCTTAGTATAATACTAACCTGCACTCACAGAGAGAGTGATTCTGTTGTTTAGCCAAGTGAGCGCCATTTTGTCCTGTAGTAGGTTTCCCTGTATGTATTGTACAGTGGAAATGCAAATTCCCAATTGCACTGGAGTGATTTATTTGGTAGTACCCTTACAGGTAGCCAATTTTGACTAAAAAAAATACTTTCTAATAATTGTGTTGAAAGTTTTATCATAGGAACACATGGGCTGATTTATGCACTTAGTCCTCCTCTCCCCCACCCCCCACCCCCAAAGTGAGTTGGTTCCAACCCATATCAATAATTCAGTGAGATTTGGATCCAGGATCTCACATTAAGCTAATAAACACAATTCCAATGCTATTTAAATCTTTAAGTGGCTTTTGCTCGGTGTGCAATGTGAAGGAGGATAAAATGTTTATTCAGCTTCATTTCTAGTGTAATGTATCACTTGAAATTGTCATAATTTTGATTACAGAATTAATGCAAATTCCAGCAGAGTGAAAATAAAAATACCTATGGGAATCTTCATGAATATAGTGATAGGGAGAGCTTAACTCTGGCATTTATGACTGAAATACTTTGCTACTGTATAACATCTAATGATTCCATGTAAACAGTAATAGTATTTTCTGTTATATTGCAATGTGAATTGGTGGTCTTCTCATGCTTTTGCAAATATTCTGTAAATCACTATTTTATAGAGAGGGTGTTGAAAGATACTTATTGATGGACATAGAATAAAATGTAGCAAAATGTTTTTCTGGAGATATGTAGAGTCTTAAATGCAAGACCTTTATAAAAGTCCTAATTTACCTTTTATCACTAATGTGTTATGAGCTTTGAAACCTGCTGTGTGATGAAGCACATTAAAATCTCCTCCTGTGTCACATAGTTGAATTTGAAACTGGACTAATCTTCTGTTATATTTATCCTGGGCACATAAATTTCTGATGGGTTTGCCATTTGTCCTACCCTAAGCTTTCACTTCTACGTCTGAGGGAGCAAAAACTTATGCTGAAAATTTAATTTCAATTTTTTTTAGCACAGCATTTTGAGATATATTGCTTGATATTGTAGCCTTTCAAAATATTTGGTGATCATAATTTTTACCTTTTTCGGGTGCTTGTTGTTTATGTTAAAATGCATCTAAAATTTCCAAACAGATCTGATTTTATAGGGTATTCAGACGAGTGTTTTATTAGCATTGGGGCTTGGAAATATCAACTGATTTTAGTACTACTGAGAGTGCTTTGTCTTCATTACTTCTGTAAGGGTAGTTCTCTTTCAGGTTCAAAAGAATGATTTATTAAAAAGCTAGTTTAAGTAATAGTTACTTAAAGACTATTTTACTTTTCAATTTTAACAACTTTGCTGTAGAATGGTGATAAAAGATTAGAAGGTTAAATCCAATCAATTGTTAATCTATCACTTAATAAATTGTAACACCATCTCAACACAAAAAGATGAAAAATTGTCAGTTTTTTACCACTTTAAGCAGGTGAAAGGGACATATATATTGGTAGATATTTTATCTTATCTGAGATAGACTTTCAACTCTGACAGCAGTATCTCTTATAACAGCTCCCAGCACCCCAGATCTCGATCTAGAAAGCTTAAAACTCCAGAGGACAAGAGAGTATCTGCTGATGCAGAAATCATCGTGACTGAAGCAGCTACTGCTGGCTTCAAGGTCAGTGAAGAACCTGAAAAAAAAGGGAGAGTGATAAACACAGGAGTGCCTTCTGGGGAAGAAGAAAACAGTAGTAGAATGCAGCTGGATCAACATTTGTTGGATCATGTCAAGGTTGCAGGTGAGATAAGGACTGATTACGTATCACATGTAAGTTGTAGGCTGTTGATACTCTAATACCACACATTTGTGGATGTTAGATCATAGTATTTCCCTAGAGTAGCATACTAAAATACTTATGTATAAAGTTATGCAGAGAAAATGATATTCAGTTAGAATGAGAAAATACCTAAATTAATATTCTGAGCTGAGAGTAGTATGAAGTTTTAATAAAGTGTTTTTAAAGGAACAAAAAGAATGAGGATTTGTAAATTTTATTTCTTTAGTGGACTCATACATTTTAGAGCAAAATCTTTTTGATATGGAAATGATACAAAATGTCCGAACACTATTCAAACAGTAGAGAACATATATACTTGCCAATATGCTACATGTATTTACATGTATGAACCTGCATAGTAGAAGTGGTCTTTACCTGTACACAAAAATGTTCTGTTTTGAGACTCCAGTTTCTTTTTACATCCTGTTGAGCTATCTGACAGTGCAAGTTATAAAGGCCTTGGAAAACCAAAGATTTTTTTTTCTCTCCCCCAACTTTTTTTATATGAATATGCTTGGTTTATTCTGGGCTTAATTTATTGTATTTCACATTTCATTGTAGTTAAGATGTAGTTCTGCATTCCTGTTGATAAAGGCAAACTTCAATTTTAATTTTAAGTTTGTGGGCAGTCCCATTTTGTTTTATATTGCTACTGAATATTTACTTGCGAATTGCATATAGAGACTATTTCCATTATTGTGAATAATAATGGTTATGTTGATACTTATTTGGAGGTAGTAATCACATTGATTCACATAAAGATAACAAAGTGAGTATTGCAATATGAAGGCTTAGAAATTCCTGGATAAAGATTATTTGCTGCTCTATCAAAGCTGTTCTTATGGGCTTTTTATTTAAAGGTGCTTTGGCTTTACAGCTTCCTCCAGCTTTTCAGTAAAGTTTTGGAATGTTCATAACCACACAGAAAACAGTTTTTAGTTGGCAGCCATTCTGTGTTTATTGGCAAGGGAAGAAAAAGTGGAGTAGAGTGGAGAGCTGCCCTCTCTCCTTTGTCCTATTAAAGGCTGATGCCTGGACGTTTTTAGGAAAAAGGACGTTTTTAGATATGATGGTGGACACTCCGGTACTCATGTTGAAGAAGGTAGTTTGTTCTGCATTATCTCTGGCCAGTATGTCCGTTATACTCAGTTGAGGCAGTATGGTTCATACCCAGAGATTACATTTTGGTATTGGCTTTCTATTACTGAGTATTATATTCATTTGACCTGAAAAGGAAAATTTTCAGAAAAACAAGTTCCAATAACCATTGTAAAGAAGTAATGGGAAGGAACTTTACAGAAACTGTTTTGTTTAATATCTTGGATGTGCTGCTGAATCAGAATTCACTGCAGTGTTTACCACAGGGTTCTTCAGGAATATGTTTTTTAAGTGACCTCTCTAGCCCATTGTTCTGTCTTTCCAATGCAAGCATCAGCAGATGAAGAATTTTTGTAAAGTAAAATCCACACAATTTCACTCTTCAGCATCACTGGAATATACAATTATGCTATTTTTTAAAAAAAAAATAAAATAAAATTATGCTAATTGCTTTGCATTTTTAGACTGATGCTGTTGTTTTCAAAATATTCTTGGTATCTATTTGAAATATGTCTTCATAATTATGAACCATTAATCCTTGCTTATTTTCACTTTTAAAGCAGGCATAATAGGTATAAAATGCAGGGCATAAAGTTCAATATACCAGACTTTTGTTGTTGTGGTTTTTTTTTCCCAATGAGTCAAAGTGCATATGGGCTGTCAGAATAAAGAAGATACATGAATATTGATTATTTTGTATGACATGAAGACCTGTTGTAATTCAAATGCAAAATACTGATTAAATGATTAAAACTACATTTCATACTCCAAACTCAAACCATTTACATTTAATTTATTTTTTGATAAAACTCATACTCCACATTTGTGTATGCCCTTCTACCAAATGCTTTTCTGTATGATTTCTAAATGAGGAACTGAATGAATTTGAATAGTGTAGATTGCTGTGAAATTCGATTTGGTAATGTAAAGTGGGATTTATTAACGAATCATATTTTTGATCTATAGGAAGCCTCACTTCAGACTCAATTTTGAGCCCTGTTCCTGTAAAAGAGAAAACAAAAATGGAAGATGAGGACATACCGTACCATAAAGCAGAGGGACAAACTGCTGAATCAGAAAATCCAGATAAACAGGAAAGTGTCTTGATAGAGGGTGATATCAGCAACCTAGAAAGCTGTGGAAGTAGTTTGGAACACGGAGAAGTGCCCGTTGTAAAAAAGGATGAAGAAGATGGCATGGAAACATGTAGTGTATGTGAAGCAAATTACATCATAATAGTAATATATTCTTGATTTAATGAAATATGAATGAGAATTTTTCTAATGAGACCTGATATCCATATTAAAGCTCTTAAGAATATGTATGATTTTAATCAGATGATAATTTGTACATGTTTTGAAGAGCTCAGGCAGAGTGGGAATTTTGATTCAAAAGCAGAATGTTTCTGGAGGCTTGCTTATTGACATATTTTTCCCTGTATTTTAGACATGTAGTAATTTCACTTTATGTCTGTGACTCTGAAGTGTCAGCAGCTATTCTCAAGCTATGCCCATATTCACTTGCTGCCAATATGAGCAAGGCTGTGAGCGTCAGTTACTTACTATTCTTGAATTTTGGAAATGACTTAAGATATCTAAAAGAAACACTTGAAGGAAAAGATTCCGCTATTGAAAGGAATATATATTTTCAGTTTTTAAACAGTAGGTTTAAAAAATGTTTCCTGCTTGGGGCACCTACAGACACATAGCCTTTTTTCACCTCCAGGTGCCATCAGTAGCTGGTTTACTTTGGTATTTTCCCACTGGCACTCAAATGTGGAGTTGTGAAGGCTGCACTTCAGGAGTTTGTAGCGTTGGCCTTAGTTCTTGAAGCTTGAATAACTTCAAGCTGAATGTGCATAGGAATGTTTGAGGGAGGAAGGAATTCCTTCATACCTACACATTAATCACTTATCAGAACTCTTAATTTCTTATCTCAACTCCAGATTTTATTTTTTTTTTTGATTCCTGTGGAATTCTGGAGTCTTCCCCAAATGAAGTCCATCGGCTTCTGCCTTGTTTTTCTAGCCACAGTTAGTTGGGTGTATTGTACTTCTGGTCTGCAGAATTATTTGGGCTGATCTTCCTCTCAGATATCACCTGAGCAAAACAGGATGGATGCTCTGTAAGTTCGGAAGGGCTGCAGTAACTTACACCTGAAAAGATTTGTTTGACAAGGATTGCACTTTTAAAATTAAAAGATATAGTCTGAATTAGAGACAAACGTAGTATTGGTACACCAAAGGTCCTTCAAGTACCGTGGTAGTATTTACAGACTTGATGTCTGTGCTTGTTTACAGAAGTATGTTTTTGTTCATCATAATTAACTTTGCAGAATTCCACACTAAATTAGTTATGTTTTTTCCTTTTCAGTCAGAGGAAGTTGCAAGAAAGAAAATATCTAAGAGTTGGCGTCATCCACTAAATAAACCACCAGCTAGATCTCCCATGACTTTGGTTAAACAGCAAGCAACTAGTGATGAAGGTGAGTGTATTATTTAGTATATTTTTCTGTCTTCATGAGACCATATTTATATGCATTTGGAAAAACAAGATGAAATAATTTTTTTTCTGTATGGATTAAGTAAGCATTTGAATCCATAGACATGTCATCTACGTTTTGCCTGTTTTCACTCGAATTCTTCTAAAAACATTGGATCTACCTTTGTAAACAGCTCTGAAAAATAAGATACCCTTTTAAAAAAGGTGTATTCCTTATTAGAACTCAAGGCAGTTATGTTTAAGATCAAGATTTCAATTGTGGAAGCATAGATGAAAGTGACATAAGAATCCTTTGAGTATGAATCTTGGATGTAAGTCATAGTCCCTTATGCTGCTTTAAAGCTACCTTTTCCTTGTCTCCTTTTTGATAGACTTTGGACATTTGGGACATCTTAAGCTCTCAGTGTCTTAAGATACTATACTTTTAATTCAAGAAAAAAGACTCTAGTTTTTTTTGGTATTATCAAAAGCTTATCAAGAGTGTTTACATATGTTGTGATTTCCAAGCTTTTGCTTGGTCTCATATGAAAAGAATTAACATTTATCTCCCTATAGTTTTGGTGTCACAAAGTGTGGTGAGAGGAAACAGTTTTCCCCCTGAAGTTACAGAATGGTAAAACCCCAGGGGGTGGTGACCCTTGAAGTTTTGAGGTTTTACCCAATGAGCGGTTTTGCAAAATATAAACGTATCACAAGCAGAACGGAAGAGAAGGTTAGTTGTAGTGGTTGTAGAAGAAGTAGCCATGTTGTGAAAGCCATGAGCAGAAGGCGCAGGAGCCCCTGGGGGGGCTCTGGCCCCCCCCCCCCCCCTGCTCCGGCTGGGGGCTGCAGGGACTTGGAACAGTGTAAGACTGAGCTAAGTGCCTGTAGCTGAAAGCCGAAGGAGTTTTCTGCATCGTAAGTAGGCAGAAGGAGCAGTGGCAGAAACAGCACTGACCGGAGGCTATGGCAGAGAGCCAACAGATAAGACCAAGCAGCAACAACAGGCAGGCAGCAACACCGGGAGAACTCCTGGAAGGAGAGAGAGAAAGAGAAAGAGAGCCAGCAGCAGAGAGAGCAGACCTAAGCTCTACAGACAGAGTTTTTAGGGTAAGAACTGAAACCAAAAATCCCCCAAAATCCCTTTGAGACCCCTCCTAGGAGGAGGGAGATGGACTCTGGCTTGAGAGGAGTCGTAGAGTGCAGCATGCACCAAAGAGAGGAGCTGAGAAGCTCAGGAGTCCTAGAAAACTGAACCAGGACAACCAGATGGAATGTGGAGGGGGTGATCTTGGCCCCCCCTCGCCTCTGCGACCAAGCTATGCTAGCAGCCTGAGATCAGAGCACAGAAGCTCTGATAGAACTCTTGAGGCAAAGGCCTTCAACTGAAAGCTGCCCGAGATGTTCTGAGTCAGGGGTGAATCCCCTGAGGAAGGGACCTTCATGGGGGTCTTACACTCCATGATATGACTGTGGTGAAGCGAGTTTTGTCCCTGCTATGCAGTCCACGGAAGAGAAGACCCTCGTTTGGAGACGACGGGCCGAGGGGCTTGGATACCCCCTCATGTGTACTGGCAGAGATCCAGATACAGCTGCTGCATGAAAAGAAAAGATGCCTGCTGCCTTAGAGACATTGCTGCTCTGAGAGTGGAAAAGATCTTTCCTTCTTCCCTCCTGGACTTTTATTTGGAGGGGAGAAGAGATTTGATCCATTGTAAATACTTTTATGTCATGGTAGAGATAGCCAAGATTGTATATAATGTATTGTAGTATTTATTTGTACAGTCATAGTAATATATTCCCTTTCACCCATTTTGAGTCTTGTGTGGTGTCTGGAAAACCCATCTCACATTGGGTTGAGACATGGGATGGGGCTTGGACTAGGGAATTAGATCCTGGGGTTCTCAAACCATGACACAAAGCTTGCCTTTCCTTCCGCCTTCTGCCTTTCCTTCCACCTTCTGCCTTTCCTTCCACCTTCCACCTTTCCTTCTGCCTTTCCTTCCCCCTTTCCTTCTGCCTTTCCTTCCCCCTTTCCTTTCCTTTCCT